ATAATATTTTCATTTTAAGTAATTAAAAAAAAATCACATTTTACTATGTTAATGCGTTATAATTATTTTAAAGTAAATTTATATTATATACAATATACAATATTATAAATTAAATTTATTAGTTATAAAATATTTCGGGTGGGGGGTCACCCCCCTATATACGGCCTTGTGTATATTTATCTTGAAATAAAATATTATGTTTTCTAAAATAATTTGACGATAATGTATGTTGAACATAAGTTTAAATATTAACTTCAATTCAATAACTAACTGTGATTATTATTATAATTATTATTATGATAAAAATATTTTTATAAAGTATTTTTTTAACAGTTAAAAATCTATTGTGAGTAGGTTGTAGGTAAGATGTATTATAAATTATTATTACCCACCTATATTTGATATCATATTAACTTGATCATTCGAAATATTTTTTTAATATATATTATGAATTTATTTAAAATTATTCATAATATTTTATAATGTATTAATTTTCTGAATGAGAAGTATAATATATTATGTAATACACAATACACCTATTTGTAATTCAATATTAAAATAATTTTCACGTGGTTATGAGTAATATTGTAGTTTGGGAATTTTTATTTCGATTATCGCTTTTAAAGATACGCCGATGTATCTTCCGAAACATTCATCGAATAATATAGGTACCTAAACGTAGGTACGTCAAATACGTTAATCAAACTGTAGCTATACCCATTTTTAAAAATAGTGGTTTGATGCTCGTTAACTCGCTGAATATGCCGAAGTAAATTTTCCTTCTTTTCTATTTAAGTTGGTGCCAAATCGTCAAAAATGGATGCTATAATTATATAATTCCCATACAACTATATATTTCAAAATACACTTTTTATTTATACTAATTGTATGTGTGTTCAATTCCTCTRATGCGTTCGTATACCCGCTATTGTATGTTTCTGTCAAGTGTTCAACAAAGTTGTTTAGAATTATATAGGTAAGAATTTCAGTTAGTGACTTTGTGYACAGCTGTGTAGTAAGTAATATTAWGAACGACTGAACAAGCGAATTCAACATATTATAAAAATCGATAGCCTGCGACTTGGCTGAATCGATATCTGGTGCGATCAATAAGTTTCTTAATTCTTTAACAGGTAAAAAATTAATTTCGGCAAAATCTACCCATACYTATAATACGTACGACCACTTTAGCATAAAGYCAAATTTATCATAAGCTTTAGGTATCGTTTAGAAGTTGTAGTAATATTATAATATATACCTACATATTAAATACCTGAGCACCTATAATATCAAAGTGGCCGCTGTACAAAATAAAGTATAAATTAATATGTTGAAAAAAGTAAAAACAGTCATCACGAATATTAATTTGTTATATTATTCTTTCTTGAATTCTTGAACATTGAATCGGACAAGGAAACCGTCAAGCCGATACAAAATTTTAGCCATCGTTCGAGTCGCACACATAATCGCTACGATTTTTCCTGATAACAGCCGTTTTTAATGTTTTTATGTAATTCGTCGTAACATTATTACTGTTATCGACTTTATTATCATTTTTTATTTATCATGCAATTGCGAGTCGTGACTATAGGTCTTAATATAATACTATCAGTCTAATATTATTACTGTACGTACTTTAAATATAGTCGTAATAACAATAATAATTGTTTTGTTGTTACTACTCGCTATTATTACATGTTATTGTCGACATTCACCAGTCACCAGTCTGTAGTCTGTACGCGCATCGCACGTACTGAAGAGATGTGTCTGTCTCGACGTTATTCTTATTATTTACTTTTATTCCGTGTTATTACGTATCGACGACGGTCTGAGGATTAAACGATTCGTCAGCGACTCTACACTTATACGACGATTAAGATAGCGTTGTTGGTCAACTGAAATGTCAAAAAACATTTTCGATAAATCCAGTTCGTCTGAAAGAGAGTCTTTGTTTCGCTAAAATTTGTCGCGGCACGATTTGCGAAAAATTATCGCCGTGGACCACCGTTTTGCAGATAGGTAGATATGACCATCGTTCGTTATTATAATAATTATAACGTCTATATTTTGATGGTAACACTTAATTTTAATCTCACATCGTTGTTCACATACTTGCCTACTGAGAAGTGATGCTTTTTCCTTTTGCGTTTGGCGTCAATTGTAATTATTGTTTATGAATTATAATTTTTATTTGAAGCCACAACAACAAAGATTGTTAGCTCATGATATTTACCCCAATATTAACGTTATTCTATGATATTTTTAAGTAGTTATACATATTATATGATATTTCAAAAAAGTAATTGATTTCGTACATAAAGAAAGTAAGAGKGAACAGTATTATACGGTAAAAACATGAGAGAGCAGTTAAATTAAGTTGTGTAGTTTAATTAATTTTAAGAAGCTGAATATTTTTTTAATGTTGTCTGGGTCGGGGCCAAGTGTTTGATTATAATTTATATAATATAATATCCCCGATTGTCCAATATTATATAGTTCTAAAATTTAATATCTGAATCTATATTATGTTATGTTATTTTTTTTATAGAAGTTTATATAGTAGTTATACTACCTACATTAATTTATATCATGTAACTATACAATGTTATTCACTTATCTATGTTCAACTCTTGTGTTGGTATTTTACTTTATTGTTATGATCAAATGTATTAATTTTATATGTTACTATAAATATGCCTAATTAAACATAATGTTTTAGAGTTCCATTCAAAATGATTTCAAAGGAAACAATATTYGTGTACACGGCTTCTGCAATAGTTGTTCTATTTACTATGGTGTATYTATATTATAGAAATATATACAACTACTGGAAAAAATTAGGAGTGTATCACTTAGAACCAACTTTTTTTTTTGGTAATGCTAAGGATCGTGTTCTATTTAAAAAATCTTTCCATGAGTTTCACAGAGATTTGTACTTCAAGTTCAAAGGACATAGATATGCTGGTTAGTACTCCATTTTATTATGAATCACTAAATTTTTATTTTATAACTAAATTATAAACTCATAAATTATTGTAAATTATGACATGGGTACAGTAAATTTCCACTAATATGATCACTGGTTTAAACCAGGGCTATAACAAAAACCCGTAGCACATCTGGCAGAAAACCAAATTTGCGCCTCCACATCCGATCACGCTTAAAGTAGACAACAGATTTTATTTTTATTTTTGTAAATTATTATAATTGAATTGAGAATGCCTCTCAATAAAATTGCCCCTTTTGTATAACTGGAAAATCCCCTCATGCCAATATCTAGCTGCGGCTCTGGTTTATAGAATCAACTGTTAAGTAGAATACAAAAAAAAAACTCTAATCAAATATTATATTTCTAAAGTTAAATTTACCTTTTATTAGAGTTAGTGTAAAAACTAATACTGAAGATACAACTTGTGTCAACTCCCAAAGCAATAGTTTATATTCTTTATTTTAAATGTATTACCTACTTTATTAATGTAATTGTAATTTTATTTGAAGTATACCGTATATACTATAAAGTATTGATTTAAAAATACAAAAAAATAAATAATTTACTTATAGATAATAGATAATAGGATCGAAATAATCTGCACCAATAAGATCACATTGGTTGGGACTCATTATATTGTATTAACTTACCATATACATTAAACATGGGTACATAACATATAAAAAATGTCAAACTACTAYAAAAAATCATTTCTGCATTTATTTTAGGATATTATCTTGGCCGCAGAGCATCATTGGTTATTCTCGATCCAGAAATAATCAAATGTATCATGATTAAAGATTTTAATCATTTTACGGACCGTCAAACAATGAGATTTCGAACATCAGAATATATTACCGAAATGTTAATTAATCTTAAAGGTTCTAAATGGAAACGAATGAGAGGTCAATTAACACCAGCATTTACTTCTGGAAAACTTAGAACCATGGAGCATCTTGTGGATGTTTGTTGTAACAATATGAGCGACTTTCTAAATGAAAATATCAAAAGTGGTAATTATAAGCATTTGATTTTATCATACTTATTAACGTTCAAAGTTTATTGAAACACAAATGTTTGATTTATTATATGGATTTTTCTGTTTAAATTTTTGCATATCTAAAGATTCTAGCAATTTAATGAAAAATAAAAATGGCTCGTTTAAGGTTATATCTGAGAATTTACTTTACTTCCTTMAATTATAGGGTATTGAAATAGCGAAATAGATTGCTTATGATAAGGATCAATAAATTATATTTTAAGTTCCCAAATGTTTATAAGGGTGTTTATATGCTCTGATTAATATTTATTGAGGTATATAATTTTAATAGGTTAATCAGTTACCTGATATGTTTATTAAGTGTTTATTATTAATTTATACTAATAAAAAAAAAATAATAATAATAATAATAACAATGCTTAAGCTATTATTTTCTTCTTTAAATTTGGTAGTATCATTGATTTAAGCCATTCTATTGTTAATATTGGAAGCTACATATTGCTGTCAGCCATTAGATTTGTTGTATCCCTTTCTTCTTTTATTAATAACCCAAAGACTTTCCACTCCTGAAGCTTCTCAGCTTTCCTTTTTATTTTACAATAGATCTGCAGTCTAAATCTCTAAATATTTGACTAATTGTGGTCATCTTCTGCTGTTTTTCCTCAATGACACCTTCTATTATACTATTAAGAAGATAGTTGTGACAAAGTATGTATCCAGTTAACTTGGAAGAAAAAAGCTTCTTGTTTTTACAGGTATTCGATAAACCTAACCTTATTTCTTATGTGTTTTGTCCAACCAAGGTGGATTTATAAATTATAAATTATAATTTATAAAWCCACCTTGTAGATGGGCCATGCTATTGTTCTCATGTCTCATCTGTGACGGAAGAGAACTTAAGTTACCAATATGGTTACAAAATGTAGCACAAATTACTGAATATTGGTATCATAGGCTTTATCAGTTTATCGCCATAAATATTAA